CTGTTGACGTGGCACCGTCTTAGAAATGGAGGGAGCCATCGGCGTATACTTCACATTCATTTTAGCAGCTATCTTGGAAGTCTGTGCCGTATTAAATTTGACAGTCTTTTGTCATGTGTGGGCGAACGAATTAAGATTGAAGTTACTTCCCAAGGCACTGGCGAAATGTTAGCGAATGTGGACTTTCATGTCTTATATGATATTACCTCGGCGCATCCTTAAATATGATGAGCTATTGATGATCATTTAGTTATGATGATGAAATTCCAACAGTTGGATTGACTGATATTTTCTTCACAAGATATGATAATTCTTCATAACACGCTTGGTCATATGCGGACTGATTGCGTGCTTGAGAGTAGAGAGTCGTTTTCCTTTGATGTTAATTGCTTTGGGGGCAAGTTTTTTCTCCTTAGTTAGAATTGCGTTGTTGTTGAGCAGAGGTGTAGTCGATGTTACATTAATTTAGGACTTTCATTTTAAATTCATAAAGTACAGTAAAAATTATTTCACTTGACTCATTTCAACCATTAAAAGGAAGTCATTTACCGCGCAGTGGATCTTAATTATTGTAGGGGGCTTTAAAAGTTCAATATGTACGATGGAGCCGATTTTAGGCTCTCTAGAATTGTCTTCAGGGAGATGGACCTGGAGGGTGGATGTAGGAATCATCAGGTAATTAGTATGTAATCATAATTGGTTTCGATATATCACAGGCTTGAGAGATCCTCAATTTATTGTTATTTACTTTTTACCAAATTATGTTTTGATGGAAACCAAGAGATTCAAATTGTTCCATAAGACTCCGCATTTTCTATTGTATACATCACTAGTTAGCGCAGCGTCCGTATATCCCGTTCACATTGTTCCTTTATAGTCGGGGTAACTTGGTGTTTGGATATCGATTTTGAATGATTTAAGAGTTTATGTGAGATTGCATAAACAGATTGTTGAGTTCGGTGGTATATAATGCAACAACAAGAGAAATGCTGATGTTTAATCAATTTTTGCCAAATTTCCTCCCACAGATAGAACAGGGTGAACGTACAGGAAATGAGTTATACTGATTTAATGGCATAAGAGCTCACTCTTCGCTTTTTGGTTGCTTGTTTCGACATCTGTCTTGCGATACATCTGTGTACATGTTCTATCAAAACAGTTCGCATAGGGATCTCAGGGTTAGCAAGTTCATGTTAGGCTTATTGATAGCACAAAATATATTAACTTTGTCAGTTTTTTCAGTGCATCACAACCTTCAAATTATTAAGTTTTAAATCAAGCCTTTAATAAATTCGGCTCACGGGACGTTCGCGCGCACCCACGAATCGACTTCCGCTGACATCAATTATATCTCGTACACTTTTCAAATTACAGAAAAACTTTTCAGACAAATTTTGTAGATATGATGCATCAGCTACAAATTTTAATTGAAACTTTTTCCGTATATTTAATATTTAAACAATTAGAGTGAAAAAGCAAAAACAAAATTCTTCACTCGACAATTTTCCGGAAGATCCTATCTTCGTAAAGAATTTTTCATATTAAGCACAACCCTTTTGAATACTCAAATTTGAAATTTCAAGAGGTTTTTATTTTGTGAAGCTATATGTGTACTTTGACCACGCTATAGTGGCTTTTTGATGGTGGATAACTTTACTTTATCGCGTATTTGGAAAAACAGCAATCACCACTGGATAACTACGACACTCCGTATACGTGACACAACGCTTGATCTTAACTCGATTTAGAACACTCACGATGAATTAAAATCTCTTAGAACACCGTACATCTAAACTTTCTTCTACATGAACTTTATAACCGCCAAGACCGACTGACTTTCACTAAAAAATCGCCGTTTAACTTCTGGTATACCTATTTCAAACATCTTTTTCTTCTATTCCTTCTGATCCTACTTCTTTTTCATTTTTCTGAGGTTCACTAACCAAATTTCCTTTAGCCACCAGTAAATATTCCAAAGAAGGGCCGTCGTCGCCCCCCCCCCCAGCATCAAAATTACGACGCATCTTTGATAAACTAACATGTGTTTACTGCTTATCGCAATACCGGATTTAAGTGCGATAATAAACTTTTAAACAACACAACGCATATAGTGTAGGTCTTTGTTTACTTCAGCTGGTCAAAGCGACGTAGTTCGACTTCGTGGGTTTGACGTGTTGGTTAATTTGCTCTTGTATAGTCCTTAACTCAAAATGTTCTGTCTGCCATTATTTTTGCTCGTTTTAATTAATTTTCTGATTTAGCACACAGGTCTAACCCGGTTTGCGTTTTTTTATTTTTAATGTGATCTGTTCTGTGAACTTAGCTTCCGTGACTTGGTGCTTTTGGGCGCTCGCACATAAACCCATCGTCACGACCGCGTTCTTTCGCTGAACGCTTCATTTATTGCGGAATGCGCACCTAACGATATCTGGTTCATCTTTACTTTCTCAATTTTTATAATCACACCTGCAAAATGGTGTCTAATTGGTTTCATCGGCCATTTTTATTTGTTCAACCAATAAGCTTCATCTCTTACGGCCAACAATCTTACATTTACAAAAGCTTCTTATGCTGTGATACAAAACGGATCCAAATCACCCGAGACTGGCATAATTACAACCTAATCTCCCAAAACATTGTAGCTACAGTAGGTACACCGGTTCTGGCCCACTTCCTTTCTGAAGTAAAGCTAACATTGTCACTACCGGTCAAACGTAGAAGGCGCAACATAGGACAAAATTGAAGGTGAAATATAGGGCATGCACAAAACAACGTATAGCCCACTCAAAAAATCCAACTGAAGGTCAAAACTGGGGAGCCCTCAATTAAAATATAATTCGATCGCTTGCCCGATTATGGGGGCGGGGAATGGGACATAATGCTTTTTTCCTTACATGCTGTATGTACAGGGTGACCAACTAAGAATGCGAGGTACTGTATCTGAGAATCTATCCATCGTAGAGACTTGCGGTAAAAAAAATTTATTACTAAAACGGCCACGAGCAAAACCTGGAAAATATTTTTAAGTTTCTGAAATGCCCGCTAGGGGGCGTAACTGCAATCTGGAATCTAAAAAAGTGATGAATTCCGCTATATTAACCTAACAAAAAAATGTCCGGTTTTTGAAGTTAACGATAATCTGAGCAATTTTTGTTTGACAATTTTTCCTGTATCTCTAAAAATGAAGTGGTGGGGGGTATTCAAAGGTTTCCGCAAAGAACACCCTGTATCTTCGAAACGGCTGAGCCGATTTAAACAAACTCGGGTTAGTTCAAAAGAGCTATTCTTCAGCTACAAATATTAATTATTATACTATTTGAAATTTTGTTAGTTTCACATATCACCGCCTGAGGGCTTTTTTCGACATTCCGACAGAAATGGTTAATTTTCTTGAAAAAATTAAATGCATTGATTCGCGAAAACAGCATCTCGACATCTTGATAAAAATAAAATTTTGAGGGTATAAAATTTTCTTTAGCCTAAATTTTAGGTTAGGTATTTTCGCGAGCTTGTTTAGGCATCATTTAGCTACTTTTTTCATGAAAAAAAGATCAAACCAACGCATTTAATTTGTTTGAAAAAATTAACCATTTCTGTCGGAATGTCGAAAAAAGTCCTCTAGCGGCGATATGTGAAACTAACAAAACTTCAAATATTATAATATTTGTAGCCGAAGAATAACTTTTCAATTAACCCAAACCCGAGTTTGTTAAAATCGGCTCAGTCGTTTCGAAGATACAGGGTGTTCTTTGCGGATACCTTTGAATACTCCCCACTACTTCATTTTTAGAGATACAGGAAAAATTGTCAAACAAAAAAGGTTCAGATTATCGTCGTCTTCAAAGACCGTATTTTGTTAGGTTAATATAGCGGAATTCACAGAAAAATCACTTTTTAGATTTCAGATTGCAGTTACGCCCCCTAGCGGTCATTCAGAAACTTAAAAATATTTTCCAGGTTTTTCTCGTGGCCATTTTAGTAATAACTTTTTTCACCGCAAGCCTCTACGATGGACAGGTTCCCAGATACAGTACCTCGCATTCTTATTTGGTCACCCTGTACATGCGTTGAAGATGCTGTGGATATAGACCTGTGAGTACAGATATGCCTTAAGTTGTACTTGTTTTGCATTTGGTGCAAATCACATAGTACGACCGAGTTGTATGTGTTCAAAGAGAAGAATAGAAAGTGAAATAGAGAGGATTATTAACGTTGAAATAGAGGGCAGAATTGAAGGTGAAATAGAGAGCATAAATGAAGGTAAAATAGATTGAAGGTCAAATAAAAGGAAGAATTGAAGGTGAAATCGTTTCAAAGGTGACTTTTTCGTGCATCTAAATATAATCTGTGAATAGTGTATTGCTTCCGGGCTGAAGGTGACATACTTCCTTATGTATGAATTAAAACAATTGCATGTAAACACGCCCACACTCTGAGATATATCTAAATTCCCGTAAAAACATTGCGACAGGAACAAATTTCAATTTCCATTCATTACATTAACTTTATTACACCTGTAGAACTTACTACAAAAAAGCATAATAATTTTAAAAGATAATAAACTTTAACAAAAAAACACATGCAAATCTCATACAATTTAAACGTTTTAACAAATTAAATAAAACAAGCAATTTGGGCGCCTATCTGGCCTAGATTATTCTAATGAAGAACGAAACGATCTGCGACGTGACTAGTCTTTCTCAAACATCAAAAAAACCTTATCCAAAACAACATAATATGCCTGTTAGCATATTCTGATGTTTTCTGAAATTCTATTTAAGTACGTTAACGTAGATGCTGCATGTAGCAATTTTAGAACAAGGTGCAATCTTCACAGGCTTTTGTAATTGTACTCCATAACGAAGTAGTAAAATGAAACTGTTCAATACAAGTAGTTGAAATGTGTACAGGAGTTGTATCAGTCTCTTTTAAGACTAGAAAAACAAAGATTTCTCAGTTTGAGCAAGGTGTTTAACTACCTTATTTTACTTTCAGCAATAATGGGACGTATCCTATCTCGAGTGGAAGATCCCGTAGATGAGCACACAAAAGGTTGGATACGATTTATGGTGAGCGTCGAAAGTGTCTACAAAAAAGCGAGAGATTCGAGAATTAGAAAAGGGCCGACATCGCTTCTTGTACCGGCAACGGATTTACTATGCAAATGTCCAAAATTAAAAGCCAACAAGTAAGTCTGGAACTTTGGCAATTTATTTAAATTACAATCCTAATTTAATGGACGCGATAAAAACTATTAAATTAAACTCGAATCAAGTTGTTAGAATTGCAGGCACCTAATGAATTTAAACGTTCGCTTGCCTCTATGTTAGAATTGCAAATTTGATGACACCTATTTAGCGATGATGCGCTCGCCGGCTTAAGCGTGCATTTCGTTAAATAAATTAATGCCGTGTGTGTTTTTTTAAAAAAGCGAACGCGCGAATCGTTCACCTTTGCCGATATGAGCATTACTGTCGTTTTAATCTGGAATTAAAAATGTCGGCGGAGGGCAATTTGGGCTAATTAATGCTTTTAACGTAAACGAAGAGGGAGATTCGAACTTCAAAGCTCTTTACGCCGTATTAACGCGTCCCTTAAATTAAGTAATTTACTTTAGGTAGAGATCCTCGACATTGTATCTTAACTTAATGAATCTTCCTTGATTTTTCGCTTAATTTACTTTAAAGAAGAGAGAGCGAGTTGAGTTTCTACTAAATTAAACGCGATTTATTATTATTTTGTCGTTCGTTCGGAGCTTGACACCGATGAAAAAACACCAATCAGTTTCCATAAATCAAAGGTTCGGCAAAGATGTAAATTGCTTTGTGCCGTCGTTGTGCCGAAATGTGCCATAAAAACATGTTTGTCGTCACAAAACCCTAGGCAGGTTCAATTTTTGTTGTAGAATTTGTCCAAGCAACACATTTCGTTCCCATTCTATGACATTTTTTCAGATGTAGGTACGGCTAACTTTGTTAGATTTAATTTTTTTTCTTTAGCTTTTTTTGAGTTTTGGCGGCAACCATTACCCCTGTTAGAAGACATTTTCGTTTGTATTTTCAGATCAGCGTTAAATTTTAGGTTTACCCAAATGGCCGATTCACATTTTTGGTCACGTCACGGTCCGCTCACGGTGCGTATATTCCTTATGGCCGATTCACATTATCGGTCAGGTTACAACAATTGACCGCACCGTGACCGAACGGTAGTCTGACCGTGATGTGACCGATAATGTGGAATACGGCGATAGTGTGTAATTTTCCGCGTCTCCACCGAATCTCATGAAAATTTGGATTTAGGTTCTACTTACCCTCCACTTCAAAGTTGAATTTGAGCCAAGGGTTGCTTTTATTTTTTAGGGGAAAAACTACCCCTATTAGAAAAATCGTATAATTGTAAATTAAAGCGGGTAATTGATTCAAATCATCTTTTAAAGTAGTGAATAAATATCAATTAACATTAAACAACATAACTTAAGATTTTATCACAGTTTACCCTATAATTCTTACCTCTAAAATAGTTATAATTAAAACAAGGTCATAGAATACCTACTTTGACTCCACTGATTTGCATGGGAATTTGGATTTAGGTTATTCTTACCTCCACTTCAAAATTGGACTTGTGCCGTTGGTTGCTGTTTATTTTTTAGGGGTGGAAACTACCCCTATTAATCATATAATTGTAAATTCAAGCAATTTGGGATTATTTAATTATACAGTAACATTAAATTTAGATTTCTTTGCTATTTTTATTTTTTACCACATAATTTCTACCTTGAGTGTATGCAAACTTTGAACAGCCATATCTTAACCAATTTTTGATTTACAGAAAAACAAAAAAAGCAAAATGTTCAGAAAAGCAAAAGCTACATTTTTTTATTCTTGTAAATTTTTCGTATCACTAATACTTTTGAAGTAATTTTGAAAAAAAGGCAATTTTTCAAAATTTCAAAATTTTTTGTTTACTTCAAAACTACATTTTTTCAAAAATAAGCACTTTGGACCGGTAAAACTTACAGATCATATAAACTATATATAAATACAGTAAACTGTAAAGCGGTAACGCTTAATTACAATTGGGGTGCTAATTAGGGGGTGATTTCCTTGATTTTTTTTACAAAAAAAAGGAACAACTTTATTTTGATGCTAGGAACTTAAAACAAAATGAAAGGTTTTTTTCAAACACTTTAAAAAGGTATTCATAAGTTTTCCCCGAAAAGTGCTTTATTTTTTGGTTATTTCACGTTGAAGTACTCGATTTGGAATTTGACGAATGAGAACCTACCTTTCATGAGCTACAACTTTGCTTCTACTGGGTCTATAAACTTTTTATATAGACCATTTTGTTTGTTTTTTTATAAGCTATATTTTTGCTAAGAATACTTTTTTCGATACAATACTTACTTTTAGAGTTATTTGCGAAAAACCGTCTCAAAACGTGGTTTTTTTGTTGGAAAATGAACATTTTCACTCGAAAATAGCTCGAATACTATTGACTTAGTGAAAAAACTCTATAGAACAAAAGTTGATTAGAATTACTCAATTTATCAATTTTCTTATTTTGAACGTATCTTTTTGCCCCCGGAGAAGGGGTGGCATTCACCCCCCAAGTAAAAGCAACCCTTTGAAGTAGAGGGTAAGAGGAACCTAAATCCAAGTTTTCAAGCAAATCCGTGGAGGCGGGAAAAATTACACGCCAAAACGGTCATTTACTGATCTAGTGGGAGCGGCGAGCGTCGCGTTAAAATCGCGATGTGTGACCCTCCTACTATTGAAACGTCAGTCGCAACACGATGCTCGCCGCTCTCCCTCTGAACTGAACAGAATTTTATTTTGTACATGTATTGCAGTTTTCCAATTTTATCTATCCATTTCACTCTTTTTGATACCATTTCTTGTCATTTCATACGCTTTTTCGCTCGCCCTGTCATCTATGTCCTGCGTTCGATTCCTTTTTAGCGAGCTCTAGCGTCTTTTTATTTTCTATTCCTCTTGTTTCTGCCAACGTTGTTTTGTATATTTTTTAATTTTATTTTGCCTTTATTTTTGAGTGGGCGAGGATTCAGCACAGGCTGCTCTACCAACCCAACCCACTATACATTTACAAATATCCATGCTCGAACCCGGATTCGAACCAGGAACCCTTAGCACCACAGTTCAGCCTTAGCTGAACTGCGCCACACGGACCGGGGCAATTCTTCTGTAGCATTCCGCCTCCTTGAAAATATCCATTTGCAATTGATCACAGCATGGTTAGTTGACCGTTCGACAAGAGGCCAAGTTTCAATCACTGTCAAAGACTTCATTTAATCATTGCCCGCCCTCATCTATTGATCAGCTTTGCAATATCTTCAAATTACATTGAAACATCATCGATAAATTCCAATGCAATTATTGTGAAACTATCGATCCAGCATCCGAACTTGCTCGGTGGATGACGCTTCCACTTTGGATAATTCCTTGAGTTTACTGCGTGTAATTACCATGTGACAGAAGGCCCATAATCTAATGTTTTAATGTAAGAAGGAGAGTAAACACAATCTGAGAGTTAAAAATGTAACAACTCATTGAACTCTATTTGGTCTATTTAAGCCGGATATTTTACCCCACACATATTCTAACAAGGAGTACACTTTAATCGATCTAATTTTAAGCATTTCAGTACAATTAATTCACCTAATAAATGCATTTCTAAACACACAATAACCGTATGCATGTAGCAGAAAAGGGTTTATACGTCATCATCATTAGCTCACTATCATTAGATCGTTAAGGCGACATGGCCGCCGATCTCGATAATGAATCAAAAATTAGACACTATATTCTGGCCATTGTCTCTATAATGTCACTGTACCATATCGTACCTCTTAAAATAAGAGGGCTACCCTTAAAACAAAGAAATGATAGCGATTGACCATTGATCTGACTTTACAGCAAAACCTAAAAAAATGCACAAGATAATCAAGGGTTTAGCAAATGCTCCCAATCGTAGATATGTGCCTACGTTCGCTTTTAAATTATATCGAACTATGCACAACGACAGGGTCAATCGCCATAAACAATAGGCACTGATCGATGCAATTACACCCTCCCGGATTATTAAATCTATACTCTGCTTTACCGTGGAAAGGGATGATCCTGGAAAATTAAATTTAAGAGAAATAATGCGCCTAGGCTTGCGCAGAAAATCCTACCCATAGATGACGCCAGTAAGTGCAAGAATAGCCAGAATTTAAGTATGCCAGTTAATCTCAAAACAATAAATTACAGTGACCGTACACCAAAAACAACCAATACGTACTTACGAAAATAAGTCGTTACACCTCGTATATCAGAGTAGTCGTTACACCTCGTATATCAGAGTATAGTCAGAATTTTATAATTTTTGGGCACGTCCCTAACGAGGATATAAAAATGAATGGTGCATATAATTCAATAAACCAATCCTCAGTATTACCACATCTTATTTTCCTAGCTACTTATTTTAACAATTCGGTCGTAATTTCATTACCTACCTTGATCAAAATTTGGGTAGTCACCCGAAATGTACCTTTATACATAACTAACGCCATCGACATCTTTTGATCAAAGTAGAACTGAAATGCTTCAAATGTATTTCACCGATAGGCATTTAATTAACGACCTTGGTATTTTCCCCCAAGGGTTTGGGGCACAACTAACAGTTTTGCCGTTTTTTGATCAAATTCACGTGGTTGTTAAAAATTCATTATATTCAATGTATTGGGTGTCGAAAGAATATCTTTGGCTTCCTACGATCTTGGTGCATAAATAACAGTTTCCACATGAGTTATTGTGGTTTCAAAAATACCATCTGTACTAATTTGGTATCAAGATAATTCGTTTGAAAACTTGCCGTAGACGACAAAAAAAAGATTAATTCAATATTGTTACACATTTAAGATCTACAGATCTGATTCATTTTGGACTCCTAAATATACACTCATTTACTCTTGGAATGGCCAGATGCCAAATTCATACCGCTAGAACTTGCACTCAACCAAAACGAAGATTTTGTGATCGATGTGGACATCAAAATGTAACAATGCAGGTATGTCTTAAGTGCAAGGGAATTGCGCGTTGGATCCGCTTGTTGAGCGCGATTTTTAACGGCGCAAAATTGTCGTCGATCTCAGCCTCTTTTCCTATTCAAGTTCAGATTGGTTATGTATTAGAAAACGTTATCGACTCAAACGTTATCATATTTTTTGGGATTGTTAGATACGAAAACATTCGTTACGAGAAATCAAAACTACAATATTGGCAACACTTAATATACCCTGAGAGTCGAGACCATAACTTTTATCTTGTTACCAAAGAAATTGAGCTAACTATACAGATTTTGAAAAGCATCAAAATTATATGCATGCTATCTCACTTAAAAGTTATTTATTTTTTCCTTATCGAAATAGCCTTTCAGGAAATTGTTCTTGGAGGGAGGGCACTTTATAACACAAAAACACCATATGACATGTGGCAAAACATTTTTGAGTTTTCTGATAATTACCTTAAATGTAGTTCAAAACAATCGAAGTGGTTACGGACGGTTGGTTAGAAGGTCAAATAAGATTAGAAGAAAAATGCTGTGTTGCAAAAGCTGCTCTTACAAATGACCATTTATGTATATCTAATTTTACAAAGAGGAAAAGCAAAGCAAGAAAGGTTCTGTACTTACATGTATAACGTTTTTGAAAATTCTTATTTCTTCCAAGTTCCAAGTTTACATTACCTTGTGACGTCACAAAAAATGGCCGGGGTAAGATGACTCGGTTCTACTATCACTTTTCTAGTCACGCGTATAACGGTCTTTCTACCATAAGATGGCGTGGCCCTAAATGGCTGTGTGAAAAAATTGAGATCTCGAAATAAAACAATTTTGAAGAAAAGCATGAAACTCTTATCAGACGGTTTTTTGGTCAATGTTTTTCAAAATTTGCCGAGCAGCGCGAATGTTTATTTGACTTGAAGCCTTTAAGGCGTATAATAGAATTCAAGTTTCCGTGGATCTCCCGAATCCGTCATCCGTCATATCTTTCTACTCACCCGAAAATACGGAATGGGAATCTCGGTACTAATCGAATCTTCTGTGGGTGCGGTTGCACGTTTATTTTTAGATCGCTGCTTTAAGTCACCCTACAGTACAGACCATTGGGATCTAGTTATTCAATCATATCTAAAATCTATTGGTATCTCTAACTAAAATGTCAAATTTACAGATCATACCTAATTTTGGGCCGAGAAAAGGATGACTCGCCCGGAGGAATACCGACCGGAAACATCGCCGTCACCCAACGCTCAATCGTGATCGAATGGAGAGACGAGTGGGATCAAAGAATGCGCCGATTCCGTCGCCGCGCGAGGAAATGCAAGTGAAGAGTATAAATCGATTAATATTTATTTTTTGATTGAGATGATTTTTAAAAATCATACATTTTGCCAACAGTATTTTTAAATTGTGTTTTTAAGGTCGACTGCAAAATTAAAAATTTGTACTGAGCATTGAAAAATTTTTGAAATTTTAGTAGTGTTTATTACAATTTGTACAGTTTTTATATATACCTACTCAGAATACGTGTTATATAATAAGTTATTTATTTTGATTTGTATGGTCTAAGTTGAATGGTGGGAGAGCGTGTGTTGTTTTTATATAATGCCAAATATTATGCCTAAAATTGGTAATAGAGGAAGACATTTGGTTTACACAGATCTAATCAATGTATGTATGATAATGGGCGAACAAAATGAGATTGTACAGTATTATTATGTAACTGCTGATATAAAAATATTCCATTGGTAACAATATTACGTTAGGCTTCTATATGTGTATCATTATAACTTTCTAGTTCCTAGTAACAACTGTATTTAAATCTTAATGTTTTTAAACTGTTATCGGTAATAGCGCAGTATTTAGTGTTTTTGGTGTTACCAACATATCAATATAACAGCTCTATAAGTATTAACGTGTTGTAGCAATATTGTTTTTAAATGCGACAGTAATACATTACGCAGAGTTAGAACAGTTAAGACATACCATCAGGTAGTAACACAATAGTCATCTTTATTATTAACTAAATTTGTAAATTAGTCGTGTATGTACCTACCTATTAAAGAAAATTATAATAAATGTATTGTCTAAATTTACATAATTTATTGTATTTTATTGTTTTGCATTAGACCAATCAGCCTTTATGAGCACATATCCAGGTCGTACTGGATGGTACGAATAGAACTCCTACATTGTGTTACAATGGCGGATGTTTTCGTTTGTTTGGGAAATGAGTCACAATTGGGAAGAGAATTGAATAAAATGAACGATTTATACCTAACCATAGTAGCTGTTGAGCCAGAGGGCATGTGTGGTTTACTTTTTGGGGAGTAAGTGTAACCTACAAATTTAGATTCGTCATGAAGGTAGGATAAATGTGTTTGGTATGATACTTCGTAAAATTCGGTAGCTTAGTAATGTCATGACGTCACAAAGATGGCCGCCGGGCGAAAATGTTAGTAAATTGTAAAGTCTAGTTTCATGTGTAAGGAGTAAAAGCATCATACAAATTTTGATTCAGCATAAAGCTAGGATTAATGTTTGGGATGATACTTTGTGAAATTCGGTAGTTTAATTACGTTACGACGTCACGTTGAATGTCTAGTTTTATTTGTAGGGAATGAAAGTATCATACAAATTTTGATGCAGCATAAAGCCAGAATCAATGTTTGAGATGATATTTCTTAAAATTGGGTAGCTTAGTGACAGGATTATGTCATAAAGATGGTCGCCGAGCAGATATCGGTCTTGTTACTTCACATTTTATCACTTAATTTCGAACAAAAATCGATCACTGCCCGTCTCGAAACCGATTTTAACACATTCCTCGTACTTTTCTCGAATTTTAGAGACATTTTTCGAAATTCTCCGTCCTAAATTAAGCATTAATGAAAACGGTAGTTACCGCGCGTTCGGCAAACTCAGGTCTCAAAGTTGGAAAATGCGAAAAACCTCCATTTTGAGAGTGGCGCTCCGGATCGCGCAGTTTCCAAATTCGAATTAACCCCAGAATACTACCGCCGCACGAACACGCTCCTTCACGTCTCCCGCGATCTCCCGAAAATCGAAAAAGGAAATATGTAATCAGGTAACGTTTTCGAACTAAGATTTTTTCCAACATTTTCGATTTTTTCGCTTTTTATGGGAGCTACCCCGACGAATGCCGTCGGAATTTTCTTAACCTTACCAAAAGTTGCGCTAATTATCGGAACCCCTAACTCGGCCCGTACGGAAGCGACGAATTTTGAAACGCGCCCGCGTACCTCGATAACGATGCTCCCCAGCCGCCCAGCAAAATTTCCCAGGTGCCAAATTCTCAGAATCGATGCGAAATCGCCTCAAAAACGTCTCATATAAATTTTTTCCAAATCGCCGTACCCACGAATTAAAAAATCAAAAATTAAAATTGAGTTAACTGTTGACTATACTAATTAATTTTACAAAATATCATCTTGAATAATAATCCTGACATTATGCTGCACCGATATTTGTATGGTACCT